AGAGGGAAGGCTGGAAGCTTCGACTGAATTTAAAGCCTATTTGTAAGCAGAGCAGCAGCTCCATTTAGCAGCCGGTTACAGTTTGCTGCTCTGGCTATAATGGATTTTAAATGTGGCGAGAAGAAAAGGCAGCAGCATGGCAGGGGATTACCTGAGTGAGAACAAGTGCTGTTTTTAACTTGTTAGAAGGTGAAGGACCCATATTGAGGCCAGAACGCACACACCCACATAGAAACACACACTTCTGCCCCACTTTCAGAGCTGTTTCTCTATGCCACCGCATTCGTCTCGTCTGCAGGTCACCCCTGTTGCCTCGAAGGACAAACAGCCCATTAGCTAAATGAGCCCGAGGTCCCACACACCTGTCTTTTACACAGACTCTAAGGGACACAAAGACAGGGCAATAAATGCATATGCAAACAAAAAACATCCTGCAGAAAATAGGACTGGATACTGAATGCTTAAGTACATTTATAGCTCATTGGAGGCGATGCTCAATAACAGCAAAGCTCAGGGCTGCTGGAAGTCATTTTGAACAGGGGGTGCTCTGAACATTTTTTTGTTTTTAGGACGATGGGCCTATAGGCCTATTTAAAATACAATAAATAAAAATAAATAAATAGACTAAGATCTACTACTTTATTGTCACTTTATTGTATTTAAAACACAGAATCGCAGCTGAATATATGCGCTATTAATTACATTTCTAAATAAAATTATACCAACGCAGATTTGGTCAGCTGGCATGAACCTGAGTCACTTTGTTTATGTCAAATGTGACTCTCTTAACTCCAAAACCCATTTACGCAAACCACAAAGAAGTAATTATATTATTATACTATTTAAACGTTATTGAACAGTTCTCCACATACCATCATCATAGATTAAAATAACACTCTCCAAGATACTATGGTTATGTTAAACTGGACAAATAAATTTGAAAGTGTGCTTACAAGGCTTACAAGTAGCCTGAGCAAATTAAATAACATCAAAGAAGTGTCCTACCATGACTATGAAGCTGATCCCAGAGGGAAATGTGTCCTCTGCATTAGTCCCTAACTCTGTAGGGGCAGTGATAGCCATGCCAGTCCAGGGACTGACTAAATTTCTACTGTAAGGTGCCTTTGTCAAGCAAGGTCAATGACCGACGTACCTGACATGTAACAACCATACCATGCATAGTGCTTTAGGTTAACAGAATATATAAATTAGGCTATGTATACTTATAAAAAAAAATCACCAGCCCCCTTCTTCTTTTAACAACTAGACAAATGGTTGCAAGGGCTGACGCTTCCTGTGCAAACCCTATCGGAGGCGGCCTGACAGTGTTTCCTCACTCTGGCTGCTCTCTGTTGTCGTGTCTATACTCTTCTTCTTCATTGGTTTCTCCCAAAAAAATCTGAAATGCGTAGCTTTGCCATATTTCCTCTCGGTTTCTTTCATAAGTCTGAGTAAATTTACTAGTCTGCTGCAACAAGCGGGATACCACTTCCACCACTAGCTTGCTTGACGTTGCCATGACAACGTAACTTCCATGAACTTGTGTTGATTAGGCCTCAAAATAAGTACGTTAAAATCCAAATACACGTCATAGTAAAATAAAAAAGACAAAATACTTTGCACACATTTATAAATTGTGTAAAGTATTTTTTTATGTTGTTTAAATAGATCTCCCTCTCACCACTAGGGGGTGCAGCAGCACCCCCACTTTCCGCGGCCATGGCAAAGCTGTGGTTCTGTTTCTATGGAAATCAAAATCTTTAACTTTAAGGTCGTTTCAGTCTCAGATGCTTTTTAACACTTTAATGCATCAGTCCCAGAGTTCCCAAACGGATATCAGTGAATGACCAAAAGAAAGGTAATAGGATCACTGATGATCCGGATTCAACTCTGGAAAGATCACCACTCATTTGAAAAATCCAAATTTACCAACATCTGGTAAAAGCACAACCGAGGAAACACGGTGGTGACCTACATGTGCAATATCATAACCCAGACTCTCCAATGCCATCCTGACTGAACTGTTCAGAAAATTTTAGTTTACAGAATAATTAAGAGTAATGATTCAAAAAATACTGTTTAGGAAGAGACGGTGACCTGCCTATCCATTGATCACATAACGCTCTCTAACTTGCGCCCATGTGAGGATTGTTATTTCTGGGAGACATGTGAACGCTTGTTCTTCTCTGGGGAGTTAACATTATAAAAATGAGACTCATGCAAGCTCTGTTTTTATCTGATTTATGTCCAGACTCCCCCGGTGGAAAAAAAATAAAAAATGAAGTGGCCACAGGAGATTCTGGGTGTTGGCGGATGCTCAAATAAAGCCAGGAGGGAAGAGAAGATACAAATGTAGGACACAGGGATCGGGGTTTCTATCAACACTGGCACTGTTTATGTAGGTCTATCCTGAGAGCATCCTGCTCCATCGGTAGCGTCAGCCTTCCAGTAGGTTGTTGAGTGTTTAGCTTGCAGCACAGAGGTCAGCGTACCAGAGGCTCTGCTCTAAACCAGAACGTCAAACAGAGATATTTATAAACCCGTTTCTCACATATGACATGAGCAAAGGTCTCTGATCTGAAAAGATAACAGGGTGGGGTTTGTCATTTTGATTGTTGACATTTGCACCCTATATTTTACTTCAATAATTAATGATTAAACTGTATTTAGAGAAAATGTTTCTAATACAGTAACACTGCAAAAAATCTAAATTAGTCATTTTTGCTTAAATTAAGTGCATTTTTTCTTGAATTGAGGAGGTGAGACACTTTGCTAATGGAAGAAGACATTTTACAATTAAAATAAGAAAAAAAACAATTGCATTGTCTTATTTCAAGTGCATATTATATTATCTCAATTGTCTTATTTTAATGGTAAAAATACTCATTCTTCAAATCCTCTTATTTACCTATTCAAATTAAGGGTAAATACACTTAATTTAAGAATTTTTTAAACCTATTTCTAGATCATCTTTTCAGTAAAGTATGAATTTAATATATTTTTACTAACTTGACATGAGCAAAATATACATGTTGAGCTGCTTTTTGTATACACCATGAAAATGCACTGGAAAAAATCAAAATCTACATAAGTCATTATTTTCTTAAAAAAAGTGCATTTGTTCTTGAATTGAGAAGATAAGTGAGACATTTTGCCAATGGAAAAAGACAATTTACATTTAAAATAAGAAAAAAACAATTGTATTGTCTTATTTTAAGTGCATATTATCTAAATATCTAATTTTAAGAGTAAAAATACTCATTCCATTGGCAAATCATCTCCTTTACGTACTCAAATTAAGAGTAAATACGCTTAATTTCAGACATTTATGCTCATTTTTAGAATATTTTTTCCAGTGTGTTTCTCATCATAATCGCTGCTCGTGTGGCACACTGTAATCTGAACTGTCATGAAGCTGTGGAGAGTAAATGATGCGCTCTGAATAAAGACTTGAGGGAACAATAAAGCAAAGGGAACCAATGTTTAATTGTTCAGATTCAATCACTCCAACAGATGGACAAAGCCATTAATGCTGTGTATTTCCTGCCTGTTAAAGACGTCTGAGGCTTAATATTGGCAACCTGGGACATCATCCTTAAAGATATTCGCGGAAATCTCTTGGGATCAAAAGCCTGAGCCACAAACTCAAAACTTTCATCTGCCGTTTTTTTTCAGTGGTGTTTCTAAACTTTACTCCCATTTTACAAACCTTGGTGTTAGAATTTATTACAAAAACTTTTCAAATACACACAAAAAAACATATGTTTTTATTTTACTCATGTCCTGCTGAATGTTTGCTTGCCTCCTCCTGTCAGCCATCTTTAAACAGCATTAATTATTAAGTTGTGTTTCAATATAAGAGGAACCGGAGGTGACTTAAGCTCCTGTCACACTTTGACGATTTAGCCAGCATATGCCGGACGTCCCAGAATCTGCTAAAACGCTGGCAAACACTGAACTTTCTATAGATTTTTTAAAATTTTGGGCGTATACATCGATATTTATAATATGTCCAGGACTTATGTCTTGTGACAGCCTAACTTATACACAACGTACGGCACTGGAAAAAAATAATGCAATCATATTTATTTTCTTTAACGGAATTGTTTTATGTCCTACCATGCTAACATGAAACAATTGTGTTAAAGTAACAAAATATGATGAAGTAAATGCCAAAAAGAGTTGTATTATTTTTTTCAGCATAATGCCCATGAAATGTCACAAGCCAGTGTCCTGAGGGGGGCAGCAATGCGCCCGGAGGTGAAGAGTTCTTTGATCGCATTATAAACTGGCTGTTGTTTACCGTCTGTCAAAAGAAAAAAGAAAGAAATAAGGTTTGCACTCGCAGCAGATTCATGTCTGCTAGGAAGTCTGTTGGTCCTGGCCATGGGCGTGAATGAAGGATCCATGACGAAGGATCCATTACACTCATCTTCTCGCTCACCCTATGAAGTCTGGAGGAGTACTGACCGTTTCCTCCTGTTAACCCTATTTTATACCAAAACGCTGCCAATTATATGTACATTATAAATCTAGCTGTAAGTTGGAAACACGTTCAGCGGTTGTCTGGAACACGTCAAAATGTTGATATGCGTTGGAGATAAGTTCTTGATAAGTTACGCATAAGTTATGCACAAGTTACTCATATGTTTTATATAAGCAAGACACCACAACTTATGAGTAACTTATGCTTAACATATGTCAAAGATCAGATAACTTACCTGTAACGTATGCTCCATGTATGGCATAAGCTGGCATACATCCAGAAATTTTTGAGCATGCTCAAAATTTCTCAACATACTCGCCGTATGTTGACTTGTGCCAGCGTGTTTTAGCGTTTTCACTTATACAAAATTGACGCATAACTTATCCTACGTATACCAGCGTTTTTGACAGATATTTCGTACGTCAGGCATACGCTGGTCTAAATAGTCAAGGTGTGACAGGGGCTTTGATGAAACACAGGGAAGTTGAATTTATCACTGTTCTCAAGAAGTTACCTGTTTTGAGGACCTCGTATCGAACTGAGAATCCAGCTCCATGGGTTTCATAATCAGAGACGAACTTTATAAGGAGCTGCTTGCCACTCGAGATGATTGGAGAGGGCGCAATTTTCCCGCAAAACTTCCCCAGCATGGGCGACGTCTCATGTCCGCCATTGTAGACTTCCAGATAGTCATACCTGCATGAGCAAGAGAGGAGATAACAGATCAGTTTAGGGTTTTGCAAAGAACAATAAGTATTTAAAAGATGATTCCAGTGGATATAAAACATTATAGACTTCCAGGAATGTTTATGCATTTCAGATGATGTTGCTTCAATATTGATCAGCCCCTGAAGCACGTTGTTTCAAATGTTTTTCTTCCATAAAAAGGGAAAAAAAATCTATTTTATTTACAGATTTCTAGCTTGTCTTATCTGAAACTTTAAAACAAAAAGTCTGATATCACTGCTGAAAATTGCACTTCTATTTTGTCACCTTTTTTTTTTATGTATCTTAAACATTTTTACCAAACAAAGTAGTTCTTTAATGCATGCAGCCTTTTCCCAGAAAAGCTAGATTGACTATGTGCCTGTCTCCACTGCACACACACTTAACACAGATAGGAAAATATATCAGCTGTTGCTGAAGTGGATAAATGAAAAACATATTAGATAGATAACAGAACAAGCAGACTCAGAGGGGAGAGGGAACATGAGGTTTCTCTTTCTCAGAGCGAGGGAGGAAGAAAAAGGCGGTGATATTGAGAAAATTATTCTCAAAGCGAAACTTTATCAGCCTTTGTTGTTTGAGTGGACCTCCTACCACCTCTGCAGCAGCTCATACTTTACTAACACACAATTATTCTTCAGAAATTCTCACATTTAAAGGCACATTTCATACAATACCTGAATAAATGCTTAAGTTTCAGCTTTTTTATCGCTTATTTACATTCTAGAGTGTCAACAGGGGTACACGACCCCTAGGGGATCCACAGAGGTACTGCATGGGGGTCGCGAAAGTTTTGGTTGATTATACTTTTTTTTTTATATTCCCCCCTGCAATTTCTTTTTAGCAAACAGATACGTGGAGGCAGAAGATGTCTTTTAGTCATCAATGCACACATTCAGAGACACACAGGAGCTCTTTCAAGCTGGGCACCGTTTCATTCACAACACCTGTTCCATCAACAAGGAATCAGAAATACTTTAATAATCCCAGGGAGAAATTACATGAATCCATCTGTAATAGAGAGACAATAGGACCAGTTTGATATAACACAGTTTCATACAATATATATAATTAGGGGCTCCCTGCTCCATCTCGCCATCAGTTTGTGGGTCCTTGGCCTGGAAAACGTTGTTCTAGAGCCTAAATTAGCTCTTATAGGGTTTAAATCTGTCATGGTTCTCCCCTTTTGGGACTTCTGATTTATCAATCTTTCGTTTATTTTCCATTTTGTGTTAAGCAGTCTTTAGTTTCTTTCTGTTGGTGTTTTGTGCCTGTCTCCTTCCCCCTAGCTCCCTTCTAGTCACCTCCACTCACACCTGCTCCATATTAGTCCATCCTCTCCTCTGTTCCCCTTATATACACCACCTCTGCAGTCATTCAGTGCTGGTTCCTTGTCGTTATTGTTTTGTTTCTCTGACGTCACCTCACTCCCCATGTGTGTTCACCCTGATGTTACTGGATTTTTTGGTTCTCTGTATTTTGTATTTTTGCCTCTGTTGCCTTGGACGTGTCTAGAAAACTCCCCTCTGCCTCCTCACCTCTGTATTTGGGTCCTCAAAAACATCCACTTAACCTGACTAAATCAACTAACATAGGGTTTTAATTCCTATTTTTAGGTAGTACCTTCTGTTGGAAGATGAAACTCTAATTAATACTGGAGTTAAAATGGTTCTGATTTAAGTAGTTATCCGTGATAAACATGGGTACAGTCTCAGCTTGAACAATTAACGTACTGATTTGGCTAAAAAGCTATTTACTGTTGCGCTAACAGCTAATCATAAACAAGCTAATAGCTAATCAGAAACAAGCTAATCGCTAATCAGAAATAAGCTAACAGCTAATCAGAAACAAACTAACAGTCAGTTATCAACCTTAATCAGTGTCAAACTAACCACTCCTTGAAGGTAAAGAAGGGTTTCCGTTGGTCATTAAAAATAATTAAAAGTCATTAAATTTTTATTTTTTAAATGAAGGCCTTTATTGGCATAAAAATTCATTAAAACAGCTTATTGTGGCATTTAAAATGCTTTATTTTAAAAAAAAAGTTTATAAAACAATTTCGTCAGAAATATTAGATGTAACTGGTTATGCGTGTTTGCGTGGAGCTGCTTCCGGTCGATCGTAAAGCCGTACGTTCGTAAAAGAAGCTTGAGGCAGAGAAATAGCTAGAGGATGGAGAAAATGCAAATTTCAACAAAATTGGCTGGAAAACAAGGAATTGGGGAGATGGCTGGAGCCTCTCGACGATTTTACCATGTTTTATATATATATATGTATGACAGTTATGGGCACCTGTTGATGGCATTAAAATTCTAAGAGCATTAAAAGCATTAGATTAGAGGTACTTATTCCTGTATAAACCCTGTAAAGTAACTGCCAATTATTTCAAAAGAAATATTTTTCTGCTATACTGATTAACTTAATCTTTTTTATAGTGAAAGGAATAAAAAACAGGCATGTAAGGTTATAAAGGCAAACCATTATTCTGATGAATAATTATAATCAAACAAGTACAACAACCAGATGGAGAGAGTTATTTGAAATGTTAAGGCCTGGAAACACCCTAACCCTGTGAGTCCTAATCAAAAATGTGTAACAGTAGACGTTGCTTCAAAACTTAGATTTGACAGATTCACACTTGTCTGGCAATCCGCAGCAGTTTTGAAATCTCTGTTTTAAGAGGGAGTTTGACCTCTAACCCCTTAAACAAGAAACAGTGTAGAATATCAAAATATTTTCTCAGCCCGGCTAAAGCTTGCCGGTAAGAATCTGTAGAATTACAGGAATGTATGACTAATGAGACCAATTTGCAAAGAAAACCCAACCCTGAAGCTAATTTATGACTGTTGTCAGTTTCATTTCATGTCAACACCTAGGAGACTGTCAGAGAAATTTGCTCTTCATTTTATAATAAAAAATGATTTAAAATGAGCAAATAATCTTTATTTCGAGAATGAATAAAACAAAGTAGGCCTACATTGCAAACTTTCCAACCAGGCTAATTTCTTAGCCTTCCTAAAGGTATGGACATATTTTATTTAATTGAAAAGCGCATGTTAAAGGAACAATAAGCACTAATCATGCTTAGTGTTCCAACACACAAAACAGATACCCACCCATCAAAGTGTTGCGTAGGTTATTAAATCAAGACTGCAGAGTTGTCAAGTAACACAATACAAATACCTTATCTTGCTTAAGTGAAATTATTGGCTATCTATACTTTACTGGTGTAATTACTATTTAGAGTTTTAACTTTCTATTCCTTGCATTAAAAAAAAGACTCATTAGTTTTGTTTCATTTAAGCAAATTTTCATTATGGCCAGTTGGTATTTAAAGAAAATCAAAAAAATCAAAACAGTAATTTGTTTAATCAAGATAATTAATTTCTTTGTGGTTGGACTTCATGCTGCACCAACTTGATTTTCACCACATACCAAAATAAACTGCTGCCATTGATTAAAAGACTAGGAAATTAAGTATAAGGAAATAGAAAAATTTTCCTTTAATAGGCATATACGGTAGTAGAAAAGCATCTTTCCTTAAGATTGTTTTCTGCATTACTTTCGCTTTTTTAATTTAAATAGTTTTAAAAATGGTACTTTTACACTTTTACTTGAGAAAAAAGATTAAATTGATGCTCTACAAAAGTGTTTTTAAAAAGTAGGATTTATACTTCTACTTTAGTAATAAATATTAATACTTTTGATACCTCTGCAAGAGAGAGAAAGATGTAGCGCAGCTAAATTCAAGGTGATTCCTAGGCTTCTAGGTATTGCTGAGACTATTTCTGGTCTCCCTTTCTCTTGGCTTCTCTGTTTTTAAGCCGCTTGTCTTTCACAAAGATAAAATACCAAATGCTGGGATCTTTTTTGGCAACTCTGGAAACTCTCATAGGATTGGCTCAGGAAATAAACATGGACTACACACTGAGCTGAAGCAGTTCTGCAAAACTTTAGTAACGCATTGTTGATGCAGAGGACCAGAGGATATTCTACTTCCAGTCTGGGTAACAAAATAAAATGTTTTTGGTTGATTTGACAGTGAATTTCCTCCTTATAGATCCTTTAAAGAGTCTGAATCTGGTGAATGAAAGAAAGATTGTGGAACTTTAAGCCCTTTATGTATTTTAAGTAGGCATGCAGGAATTAAGTTTGTACATTTTACAGTTTTTAAGTCCTTCGCAGATGCTACACACTGGTTATGTTACCTTTGTTTTAATGGCAAAGGTCGTTTGTATTTACCATCTGCAAATTATATTTTGATGACCCCAAAAGAACAGGCGCTTCAATTACTAATCAGATAGCAGATACCTTTGCCAGCTTCAAGCATCCTACATGCTGAGGTGGGTAAAATATCTGAATAGTATAATAGGCTATTAGATAAGATCAATGCTGAGATATTTTATTCACAGTTTTATTGATTCATTATCAGCTGTTTTTTTGTTTTAAAAGTGTTAGGAATTCAGACTGAGCTGGCCAATCAAACCATGAAATAGTTTGCAACAGTACCAAACATGTACTTCTACTTCACCGTCAATATCAACATTAAAGATTTGAAAACTATTCAAAAACCTTCGAAACCACAAAGGATCACAACTTGTCTGGTTGCATGGGGGCTGACCCAGAACTTCTGGACAATACTATAGTTTATAAATGAAAATGCCAAAACGCTAATTGCAAATTATAATTAGTACCAACAGTATTAAAGCATTAAAGTCAGTTTTTGATTAATTTGGGCCTATTAAAACACATAAGCTGCAAGTTATTTATTCTAAATACACGATGCGTAAAACATTAAACAGCCTTGACTTTAAACCTGTAAAACAGTCACTGCCTGACAGCTCAGGGCATAAACACAGTTTTCCATGTTTAATATGGCTATGCGTGCCACAGGAGAATGAAATCTGCACATTTTCGTCTTCCTAGTCGGTTCCCTGTTGTGTCTGCTTTAACCCCCGGTGAGAAATGGA